AAGAAAAACAAAGCTTTTAGTGAAACAAACTAGAAAGTAAATTATTTATAAAATACATATGAAAAAAATAATATTTAAGAGAGTTATAAGGAAAAAAATAATATTAAAGTAAAGACACATTTAAGAAAATATGATATTAGTAAAGTAATTATTAAAAAAAAAATTATGAGAGCTGCATTTGAAAAATACTCATATATGAGAAACTATTTAAACAGAGATAAATTAGAGTAATTTTATATATGAGATAAACGGTAGTTGAAAAACGATTTGCTATGGCGTATATAAATTTTTAAGGGTCCGTTTAGTTCGCTAATTTGAGTTTTGTAAAAAAGTTAGATATTATTATTTTTAAGAGCTTTTTACTATAATAAAATTTAAATTTTAAACTCAAATCTGTAAAATAAATAAGACTCCAACACGAGCGTAGCGCGTGTATTTAACGTGTTATATTTTTTTATATAAAAATTTTAAATTTCTTTATTAACTTTAGTATTTATTTAAGAGTTTAGTTTAGTAAAGACTATAAAATAAAATACTTAAGCACAATTAAAAGAAAAACAAAGCTTTTAGTGAAACAAACTAGAAAGTAAATTATTTATCGAATACATATGAAAAAAATAATATTAAAGTAAAGACACATTTGAGAAAATATGATATTAGTAAAGTAATTATTAAAAAAAATTATGAGAGCTGCATTTGAAAAATACTCATATATGAGAAACTATTTAAACAGAGATAAATTAGAGTAATTTTATATATGAGATAAACGGTAGTTGAAAAACAATTTGCTATGGCGTATATAAATTTTTAAGGGTCCGTTTAGTTCGCTAATTTGAGTTTTGTAAAAAAGTTAGATATTACTACTTCTAAGAGCTTTTTACTATAATAAAATTTAAATTTTAAACTCAAATCTGTAAAATGAATAAGACTCATATTCAGTTTGATTTTTCTAATTTTTCCTCTACGTTTGATAGGGTCCCATGGGCATTTACAACCCACTTCAATAATTCACCGCTCACATTATCAAAATAATAATAATAATAATAATAATAAATAATTCACCGCTCACCATGCACGACTGTTGTTGTTTTCTGCCTTTGCCTAATTAATTAAGTTGTTTACTACTAAACCAATTATTGACTCTAGAAGATGATGATGGTGATGCTGGTGTTGGTGAAAAATTTCACGATTTTCCCCTTAATTATAGGTCTTGTCACAACATATTTCCTAAACTTTAATTTTAGCCTTTTCTCTTCCCAAACTTCAGTAATTTGCATTTTTCTTTCATTAAATTTGTACTTCTATTATTATTGTTGACCGTCATTGATGGACTCCTAAAGTTTCTTAGGTCAAGTAAATTAAAGAGAAAGTTATGCGTAGTACGAAAAACAACTCCTCAAAGGAAGAATTAATAAAGTAATTATTTATTAAATTGTTCAATTGCGCTCATTATGTGTGATACGTCTTATTTCTATTAAAAATCGTAATCTAAGGAGTTAATTTTGCATTTCACATGTCATTTTCCTCCAAAAATTTAACAAAAGGGAAAAGTTTGCAATCATCACTGAAATTTTTTGTATTTAACATAAGATTAAGGGGCATGACAAAATTTATAGTTCGAGGGGAAAAGCAAAATTTATCTTAATAATAATAACAACACAACTACTACTTAGTAGAAAAAATCCCTGTCTAATCGTGTCTCTTATGTAATGAATATATTATTTAAACAGACACCATTCTATTAAAGAAAACAAGGGTTAATAACACGTGACCGAATTACAATTCTGAAATTTAAATATGACTTAAAGTTTGAGAATATTTCATAGAGGGCCTAATTATATAACGATATTTGAATAACTTATTATGTAATTATATTAATTTTTCACATCAAATCCAAAAAAAAAAAAAAAAAAAGAATTGCAATATCATTATATCACAAATTAATTTAATTTTTGTTGAGGATATAACATTATTTTCAAGTTTTAAAATTCAAATCATCAAAAAGTTGATATTTATAACCCGTTTAGTTCGTTGATTTGAGTTTTTATTTCGAGTTGAGATGTGATTTACGGTAGCGAAAAAATTAAATGTGACTGTTTTTTAGAGCTTTTTACTGTATCAAAATTTAAATTTTAAATTCGAATCAGTGAAATGAAGGGGACTTTAGTTATCATTTTAACCATATTTAGTGGGATATACAACCGCTTTCTAACTAATTAGATCTCATAAAGAAAAAGATATCAGTATTCAATATTTTAAATCTACCAAAAATACTCTGGGCGCGTATGAAACTCATTTTAAAATAATTTTATTTTGTATAAAATTAAAAATAAAAACGTTTACAATTTCAGATATAAATCATTTTTAAAAATATGTTTAGTAATTTTATCAAGATATTATTTTCAGTATAAAAAGTTCATTAATCTCTCTCTACTCGAGAGAAGAAAATGAAAATAAAAAATAAAAAACAACTAAAAATCGTTTTTTATTTCTCTCATTTTACACTAACTAAAAAATCATTTTCATTTCTATTTTTGTCTTTATTACGCCAAATGCCGTTTTAAAAACGTTTTCATTTTTTCCTTTTTGAAAAACGTAAAAAACAAAAATGAGATCAATTCCAGGCCTCTAGTTCATATCATTAAAATACAAGCAATATCATTAAGAAAATGACCAAAACAATGTGTGTATCAGTACTCTTGTTCCCGACAAATAATTGTTGTAGCTCATGTCATTAACATAGAAGCCATTATAAAAACGATCAAAAACAATGTTAGAATTGTTCTGGCCTATGTCATTAAAATACAAGCAACGTCATTATAAAAAGGACAAAAATATATATGCAAAATCCACATATGAACATACAGTAGCCATAGATATACAAAAAAGTCATTAAAATAATGGTTAATATCACAAATGCTCCATCAGGTTTACTTTCAATTACACTTTAATATTGACTTTTAAAACGTCCCATAGGTCTCTAGGTTTTACTTTGATTTAATTTTTGTCCTTCCGTTAACTAGGTATTAAATAATTAACGGAATATATAGAAATTAAAAACTAAAAACAAAAACATCTAAAGTTTAGAGTAAAACTATACAAAAAAAAATGAAACTTAATTTTCAGTCTCTAAATTTTAGTAGTTTTCAATTTTAGTCCCTAATTTACATAGATTCCGTCAAATATTTAACACCTAACAGAAAGACAAAAACTGAGACATAATAAAACTTCAAAAACCAACTGTGGAACATTTTAAAATCATGGACCAAAATAGGATTGAAGGTAAATCTCACGGACTACTTTTGGGATTAACCCTTAAAATAAAGTCAAATTCAACGCAAAAACGTTTTACAGCTTAAAGGGTATTCTTTGCCTCAGATTCAAAAGACAAGTCATGTATGTGATATTCTAATAACCAAGCCACATTTCAAAACACCCTATCTAAAACAAGCCAGTTTATCTAGTGCAATTTCTACAGAAAACAATAGTACACAGGAATTATGGTTCTCTACATTCAACTTTTCTCAATTATGTTGGTAGCATTATGATGTTGAAGGAATACTAATTCCATCATTTTCACTCTAATAGTGTCTCTATTGTCGTTATGTGACCCTTCATATCTTTCATCTCTGGCTAACAACATCGGACATTCTTAGGCCTAATCCAACCCCCCTTTTGAAAACCATCCATTTATTAAGAGCATATTCAAGAAGAAAAAAAAGGGTAAACAAAACAGGATATATATATATATATATATGAGGGAGTGGTTTTATTGGTTACTCTATTATTATGCTCTCTGCATACATTATGGTCAAGATACACCCAATATAAGCTAATCTCGTGCATTAGAATAATATTCTGTTGTCTTGTCATGCTTCATTGCACATATAAAACTGAAGAATTCCTTGACACCATTTTGACAAATAAAAAATAAAATATTAAAAAAATCCTTACTAAACTGGGTATTATTGGAAAACCAGGTTTTATTATTATACATTGAGAAAGTTCAACTAACCTATCAAAAATTTTTGCCTAGTTCAACCTTTTTCATCAGCCTAAAACTGTTGTGAAGAATTGAATCCAGTATTCCAGCTACCTGAAACGGTGAACCCAAAGAAAAAGTATTTTGAGATCGGCATTCTTGAGAGTATGAGGAAAGATACAAGAATAAAGGCGTTTTTTTTTTTGCTAAATTATACAGGCAGTAAAAAGTACTAACCGTGAAAACACCTCCAATAATGGCACACACGTTTGTGATGAAATGTGAAAATGACTTCTTATTTTCTTGTATTAGAACCTAGTCATGGAAGGTAAAAGATAAGAATCATAGCGAAGTAAAAGAATAAAATTTTCATATATAGATTGAAATGAAAATTAACAACAATAAAAGTAAATTATTGTCTCTTCACTACCTGCAGTGGAGAGAGCTCGAAATGGAATTTCGCCAAAGGTATGTATAGACTCTGAATTACACTGCTGTGGGCGGTATACTCGTACTCATGAACTAATGTATGATATCCTCTTGTTATAACCTCGGCTTTAACCACTTGAAGATAATGCTCTATCTGCAAATGCAACATTCAGAAATACTGAATGGATAAGATCTTCAATGTTGCATTTTTTTATTTTGTTTTAGCCATTATGGCTAGTTTTTTATCTTCTAAACTCGAGTGGAGGATTTACTCCTCTCTCCATTTATTTATTTATTTTTCCACGTAACCGAATTGAGAAGTATCCCAGTAACAAAAAAAAAAAAAAAGTGAGAGAGAGAGAGAAAGAAAGAAAGGGTTTCATCGTTGTGGCAAACTCACCGTAACATTTGCATCTACCTCACGGTGATTTATGAATGACCGACCATTCAATCTCTCATAGCTTCTCCCAAGGTAAGGTGACAATCGCTTCATATCACTCATCAGCTTAGGTGCAATACTCTTGCCGAATGCAAAACGTGATATGACGTGCGACATATTCATTTGAGAAGTATCAAAGGAATGAGATCCTGAACGAGCTGAAATGATAAGGTTACCAGGAACCTGTAATTACAACTCCAGCGTTAAATCTTAAAGCAAGAAAATCATCTATCTATCTATTCAAGGGAGAGAGAGAAAAAAATGAACACCTACATGTACAGCTTCCTCCTAGGGTCTCTAAACAAAAGGAGGGCCAGAACCCAGAATTCAGATAAGATGTACATTTTTTTATTAACAAGTTCGATCAAGATGAGAAGTATTTAAACGTATGCTTCCATTAACATAAAGCACACCAGAAGGTAAGCTCACTGTCATTAGATGCGAAACAAAGAGTAACTTTGGCAATCGCATTTTTTCCATGTTAAAATCATTTATTTCTAAGCTGCAGTTCTAATGTCTCTATTACCATCGTAAACCCACCTTTTTCACACGCACATGCCCCTCAATTCTACATCCTGGAGCCTTTGGTGCTGGTCTTTTTGTATTTTCAGTTGTATTGCTACTTCCCGAAGGTAGCTTCTGAGACTCCAATTGGATAGGTGCAACTAAAGCTTCCATTGTCTGCAATAAGTGGAAACTTAAGTTCAGGCCATCTTTCACTCTCTTTCAAAGTCTCAATATCCAACAACATTCCCAAATATGAATAGGTCAACCTTCGAAGCCATTGGTCAAACCTCGAAGTTAGACTTGGGATAAAACAGGGGTAACTCAGACTCTATGAGTTTGTACCTTGACCAAGCTATCCGTGTCCCGGTCTCCATAATAAGATTCATGGTCATGGTGTCCGTGGTCGTCCCTACGATAGGAAAATGCCAGATGAAGATTAATAACGATTAAGGAAAGCTATATTCTCTTAAGTGGGCGGATGAAGAAGGAAAATGGATATATATATATATAGGTGTGTAGGTGTGTGTAATACATATAAGCGCATGAGAGAGAGAGAGAGAGAGAGAGTGCTGTACTAACGCAGCACCTGAAATAACCACCATAACTAAACACTTTGGAACTCTTAAACAATACAATAAGAAACACCCTTTTTGTGCCACACTACCACTGAATGTTCCGGAGGGACAGATTAAACAACTGAGTTAAATAGACGCTAAGAGCACCAAAGGAAATATATAATTTTACCTCAAATCACTTCCCTTGCGGAAAATGCGAATTGATGGATACCCTTGTATATGATGCCTGAATTGTTGGAAGGCAGCAGTCAGTCAAGACCAAAAAAGATCCAAAGTTGTAAAATCAGAGGCAAAGGCAGAAAGAAGAAGAAAAAGTTGTCATCCAAAAGGAGCATGCGAAATTGCAAGCCCTTCTATTACTAATCTGTTATATTTTTTCAAGAAGAAAATATTCCAAGATTTACAGGTATGCATGAAATGTGCTTTCTTTCAGCTTTTCCTCACCACTTTAGAGGAATCAGCAATCTTAACTAAATCAATTGCCTTATCTTAAAATGAATGCCCATCTTTCATTAGTACAAAAGGACGGAATAGTACCACATGAGAACTTTTCAATTTAGTTAACGTAATTGATTTAGCTTAATATTTTAAATAGTACAATGGAGATCATTTTAAGATACTTAAGGCAATTGATTTAGTCTAAGAATGAAAACTTAGAATCATAATATAAAATGTACCTTCTACATAAGTCAACTTCTAGAGTACAATCAACCTTTCCCAAAATTATCCGTCCATCAATTTCTGGATCAAATCTGGAAAAAGAAGAAGCATCCATGAAACTTTGAATATAAAGCACTTTATATGAGCCTATAAAAAATCATTAAATAAACGGGTCCAAAAATTGTTTCCGGGTAAATGGTAATGCAAACAAAATTAAAAAAAAAAAAAAAAAGGTACCTTTCTCGAATTATTTTTGCTGCGTTCTCCCAAGAAGGTTTCTGGCACAAAAGAAAAAAAATGCACAATAAGTACTAAGTCAAGCACCGTCTTATTCAAGAAGAAATATAATATTGATTCGGCCTTCTTAACAAGTGAGTAATCTAATTCCACAAATTGTTTTTTCAGAGAAGCCAAGAACAGATGGGGAACAAGGGTGGGGTTCGTCTAGAGACAGATAGGTAGGGAGAGATATATACGCATGGAGAGAGAACAATGGTGCACAGTTAGGGATAGGTGCATACAAGTTACAAGGGTGTATTTAGAAAGAAAATGGTGAGGAGAGACTAATTTGAGGTTTTGGCAAGCTAGAATTCAAATAAAGGGTTAAAGGGACTCAAGGAGGAGGGAGCTGGAGCTGCGGAGTGTGGCTGCACTTGGTCTGACAAGAGAATTTTTTCAAAGTTTCTTGCCATTTGATAACGTTTTGGTCATCTAATTTGGAGATGTAGATGACCCTAAAACTCAAAAATACAGGGGAGAAAATTTTATTCTTGTTATCAAAAGTTCAACAACTTTATTGGAAAGATAAGGGTCACGTCTTAAGGTATATCGGCTTGGATACACAAGCAAGTAAGAAAGGAATTAATCAAAGTAGCATTCTGTGTGAAATAAATTTCTAAAAGTAACGTGCAGGAAGGTTCCAAACAAAGAGATATGAGAAGTGGACTGACGTTGTAAACTTCTATCATTATCATTTACTTGTGAATGAAAAATTGGATATCGAAAGTAGAAGCTTGAACCTTTAGAATGCAATTAATCTTCCTTTCATTTAATAATAGCATCCTAAGTTGGAATGCAAAACGCCAACAAGGGAGAAAACTAGTGAATATAAGCATCTTGAAACTTTCTTACCAAAAATCTGAGATAGAAGAAGAATATTTACCAGGCGATTACTCCAATAGCACCAAGGAGCAAAAAAATTGACAACCAATATCGGATACCTGCAAAAAAATTGTCACAAATATCAAGAGAAGAATACTAGAGTAATTGCAATATAGCAACACAAGACTTCCACAGGCGAAGCTAACTGAACTACAATTGAGGATTGAAAGTCAAACTTGGCCCACTTACTGATGAGAAAATTGGTCAAAATTATTAGCCGTTAGCGAGACAGAACCTTCGCCAGATTCTTCTTCAACTTCATCCCCATGTTTAATGAAATTTGAAACTGGTCCTGAGTGAAACTCAGCACCTGTGGGTTTTAAATTGGCATCTATAGAGAATTTCTTAATTGTTTTTGTTATATTCAACCGGTTCTGGAAACAAGGAGGAGAATTTCAGCACGTCATCACAACATCAATAAATTGAAAAAAGAGCCAATAGAATATTGGAAAACATATAAAGAGAATCTTAAACTTGATATCCGAATTTATCTAATAGAAATAACAAACCAAGACAAATTGGGAAGTGGAAACTTACTGTTCCTAATACATCACTCACGTCAACTGATGCAAATTCACATGAGAGTGCAGGAAAGCTACGGAACAATAAAAGCGATATTAGTCAACCACTCAAGATGCAGGACATACAGAAAGGTTATATTAATTTTACTGGCTGTACTACATTCATGAACTTCAAAATGAGCATTCAATTGCCAAATAAGAATACAATTATAAAAAGATCTGTGGCAGAATGTTGTCAATTCTTCATCTCATTTAATCAAAACCCCTCCACAAGTTTGTTTGTGTGTGTGTGTGAGAGAGAGAGAGAGTGTGTGTGTTTGTGTTTGCAAATATACTTCACAAATGTAGATTAATCATTACATGCGACATATGGAGAAACGTGTGCATCTAAACAAAAGCACTAAATAAATAATCACAGCACCACTGAATAATCGGCCCACACAGAAAATCAATAAAGTCTGTCCCCAAATATAAAACATGGAACCTCTGAACTGAAAACACAGGACAGAATTTTCAACAACAGCTACTTTAGTTGTTGCTTTGAAAAAAGAATATCACAACCAGAAGGACAAATGCACATAGCTAAGCATGATGCTAATATTAGATATGAAATCGTGTTCCACAGCTCACAATAAACTAAAATGTTAACGCGACCATTGAACTGTACCTTAAATCAAAATGAATACGTAAGAAGTCCCCATCGGTGCTCTGGTCGACAACCACAGAAGTAGATGTGCTGACAGTTAAATAATTATTTAGTTCCTGTAAGATACATAAATTTAACACATCATGACACAAAGAAACAGGCAAAAGATTGACAAATATGATCCAAGTAATTTTTAGTAAAAATCGAAAATGAATACCAAAATTTTTTAGGAGAAATCAAATATAAGAGGCTTGGTGACAATCTCATCCATTGAATTTTTTTTTCCAACATTTATCAGGTGTCAACGCCTTGGATCGGTTTTTTCCATTATCCAATAGTTGAACATAGGATGCATGTGCATCTAAAAATTTTGAGCCATAATGTAGTTCTCCTAGTAAAATCTATAGGATCTCAAAATAGAAAGCCTGCCAACATACAAGACCTATATTGTAGAGTATTATTTTATAGTAAAAAAAATGTTTAATACTCAATGTTCAAAATCCGGAACCAAAAGACCCCAGAAAATAGATAAGATTAGCGTACCATTCCAAATAAAAACACCATGGAAAGAGCTGCTATTATGGATAACCCGGCCCCTGATAACGATGCCTCTGTCAAATCCCTCGGAATCTTCCTGTGGACAGGAAATGTAATCGTGACGTACAAGAACTGAGAAACTATCTCTATAAGTGTGACGAGGCACCCAAAAAAAAATAAAAAAGCTACCACTGTCCTCTATCAATACAACAGGAGTAAAATAGAATAACAACAAAAACTAACACACAACCAAGCAGTTCAGTTGGGTTCATCGTTCTTCCCCTTTTTTTCAGTATTCACCTTATTTTAATTACAATTATTATGTATTTATGCCTTGTTCACGTCGCGCGGATTCGAGTTTTCAATTCGAGTTGAGATGTAATATTTTTTGAGAGCTTTCACTGTAGATGTGATATTTTCTAGAATTTTTTACCGTAAAAACCTAAAATTAAGAACTCGAATCGGTGAAATGCTTCAGTGGGAAGAAAAAAAAAAACCTTGTACATAGATTCGATTGCCTATATTGAGATGTTTCTGCTGTACAATCCATACTAAACTGGAGATAAACCAAATGATGAGGATGATATATATATATATAGCAAACGAAATATCTGTGGGTATATGTATAAATTTTTGCTTCACCAATGCCAAAACGAGAACCATTAAGAACAATAGCAAGAAGCCAAAACCG